CTCTCCGTATATCAACTCATATGGAGACCTCATATTGGTTGGACTGAGAGGCATCCGATTAATGACATATGCTGCACACATCATACCTTCTGCCCATAAAAATTTAGGTAAATTCTTGGCATGTAACCAGCTCTTGCAAGTCTCAGTAATATGTCCAATTTTTCTTTCGGCGACCCCATTTTGTTGTGGGGTTTCTGCACAAGAGAGTTGCCTTCTTATCCCGAGTTGTCGACAGAAAGAAAAGAAATCATCAGAAGTGAACTCTCCACCATTGTCAGTTCTTAGCCGCCTTATCTTCATGCCAGTTTCACCTTCCACCATTTCTTTAAATTCCTGAAATCTTGATAAAACATCTGACTTTTGTTTTACAAAATAGACCCATGTAAATCTTGTAAAATCATCAACTAGAATTAACATAAATCTGAATCCAGAAAGTGAAGGTGTTCTAGTTGGTCCAAATAGATCTCCATGAATGCATTCCAAAGGAGTCCTGCTTCTTATGATAGACTTATCAAATGGGAGTCTGTGAGACTTCCCAAATTGACAGCCTTCACAAATTTCCTTCTGGTTAAAATTAGTTAAATTGGGCAAGCCATTAACCAATTTCTTCTGTACCATTACTTTCAATTTTTCCATGTTGACATGTCCCAATCTTGCATGCCAGACAGAGACATTATCATTGCAGCTCATTTTTTCAACGTAAGATGAAGAAGCTGATAAAACATATAGATCTTTAACTCTTTTACCCGTGTGAATAACATCAGCATCCAATACTCTTATGTTTTTAAGAAATTTAACATTCTTTGGGCCAAAAAGAACAAAGCTACCAGAATCCACAGCATTATTAACTGAAAACAGATTTTTCTTCATCCCTGGAACATGAAACACACTATTAAGAGTAATTTGATCATTGTCCTTACCATTTATGATGACCTTTCCTTCTTTTGACACTGAGTGTATGGAGTTGTCTGCTGTAACAATGGGATGTTTACCATTATATTGATGAAAATTTGAGAACTTGGATTCGTCACCAGTCAAGTGATGCCCACAACCAGAATCAACAATCCATTCGTCTTCAAGATTGATGGAAGCCAATGCATCAATATCTTTCGTTTCAGCCACAAAACATTTTCCCCAATCTTCATCAGATTGATCATCCTTTTCTGCTGCTGCAACATTAGTTTCTTGTATGCTGACCTTGCAGTTCTTCATTATATGTCCAGGTTTGTGGCAACGGTAACATATTATTGGCTTTCTACCATCTTTCTCTGAAGACTCAGCTCTTCCTCTACTCCAGTCAAATTTCTTCTCTTTTCTTTTGAAGTTCTTTCCAGCAGCCAACAAGACTTCTCCTTCCCCTTCTGAAACTTGAATACCAGCCATTTGCTTAGCTAAAGACTCCTGTGAAGTCAAAAGATTCTCCAACTCTTCCAAAGATGGTTGTTGTGCCCATCCTTGAATAGATGTAATAAAAGGAGTGTACTCTGGTTTCAAGCCTCGAACAATGTGACGTCTTAACCGTGCTTCAGAGATTGGCTCATCTGGATCTAGTAATGATATCTCCGAACACAGGTTTTTTATCTTGACAAAAAATTGAGAAATTGAGAGTTCACCTTGTGTTGCATTTGCCAACTCATTCTCTAGCATTTGCAGCCGACTTACATCCTTTTTGTTGTATAGTCGATCAAGAGTTTCCCAAATCTCATTTGCAGACTTGCACTTGATAATATGCTCAAAGAGACCATGAGAGATAGATCTTTTTAGAGCAAACTCAGCCTTGCCATTCAAACTTCTCCACTTCTTGACAGCTTCAGCATTTTGTTCATTAGATTCTAGTGGCTTAGTTTTATCACCACCAACTACGTCCCACAGATCTTCACCAACCAAATAAGATTCCATGCAGGACCTCCATATCTTGTAATTGGACTGATTCAGCAACTCCATTCCCAGCCCATTAAAACGACATGTAGAATCCATTGTCACATCTAATCTTTTTCACCAAGGGATAAGACAGAGATAGCAATCACCCTTGGAGCTCTGGTACCATGTAGAAAAAATGGTGTAAAACAAAGTACACCAGCCCAGGACCAATAACAAGCTGTGAAAAAGATAGCTAAGAGAAAGCTGTATTCAACAAGAAAACAATTCTCCTTCTTGCTCACATCAAATACAACTATATATACATAGGGATAGGAACCCTCACAGTTAATGCCAACTAACAACTAAATACCATCAGTAATCCAAAAGACAATTCTAGATTCTACAAAAGGTAACATTGGAAAATGACAAACTAATTGCTCTTCATTAGTCTCAAAAAATCAACTTTAATGTTCAACATTCTTAAGGCTGTTTCTTCATTTGTTCAACAAGACTCAGAAGAGCCCCCCCCCCCCCCCCCACAAATGATGTACTCAAACAAATTAACACGCTAATTTCCATTGATAATTCTATGACCCTTGCTTACCTTATAGGATTAAGATTTAAGCTCTTAGTCAAGTCAAGTCAACTTCCCATACACTTTGTTTTTTTTTTTAGAAGAATAATTATCTAATTTGATATTTCTCTGAGAAGAATAATTATCCTTAATCTTTTTGGGTCCAAGAAGAAGGGTTTTGGTTAGAAGCTTTATCTTTTTATTTCATCTATCTTATTTTGTAATTCATTGGTAAAAGGAATAGACAAATGCATTCAATTAAAGAAAATGCAAGTCTGATCAAGGACCCGTTGATGTACTTAATCACCTTTCCTGTTTAATAATCAATAGCTACTTCACATCCTTAGTTCAAAAAATTTTAAGACGTTAAGAAATATTTTTGTCCAAATTGATGAAAAAATATTTTGGAAGTAGCAAAAGGAGAAACTATAACTAAAAAAATGAGACGGAGAGAATATGAATTTTGCTAATTCAGATGGGACTTTCATAATGTTTCTAAATTTCTTTCTTTATAAATATATCACAAACTTTATAAATATATCCCTTTTGTATAGGTGGGAGATTTGAAACCCTCGCGTGCTCTTGAAGTCCAGGATTTCTAGGAAACTTCTTCTAACGGGTGCAATTGCACCCGTCTAGCTCGGACTTCAAAGGCGATAGTCTCCTCTGAATTTCCAACAACTCAAATGGTCCCATTGGACCCTTCCATATAATATTAGAGTAATTGTAGGATATTGTCGTTTGACATATAAAATAACAAGGAGAAAATCGTTTAAAATGTTTCTCACATCTTGTTAAATGAATTTTTTTATTTCTCACGTAACCCAGATATGGTTGGAGAGAGGGGGAGAAAGAAGGAAGAGGGATGAGTTGGGTGGTTTGAGAAGAGAGAATATAATTAAGAGATTTGGGTTCATTTATGGGCAAAAATGTTAAATCTCATTTATAGTTAAACAAATGACCAGATTGATATTCATTTTTTCTTTAAAAAGTAGGATTTGATCTAAAATGTATTCATTTTTTTCAAAAAAAAAAGTGAGATTTGGCATAATATATATATTATCAATAAAAAGTGAAATCTAATTTTTTTTCTTACATAAAAAATGATTGTATATGGGTCACGTAGTGATTTCAGACTAAAAAGTAGTCAAAAACTTTGTTTGATACTACACTTTGCTAACTTAAATTTATGAGGTACATAAAGTTAATGTTTTGAAAGTGGAGGACGAAAAAATGTATTTTACGAAATGTGAACGATATTTTAAACAATTTTTTTAAAAAAAAAATTAGAATTATGGAAACAACATATACCAACTACTTATGTGGTTTGATGTTATAGTTGTTTAATTGATTTTGTGTCACGAAATACAACCAAATTACACTAAGTAACGTTAAACAACAAAGGAAAATGGTCAAAATTAGACCAGGTACAATTGAATTTTGTTGCAATTGTCTAGTTATTATACTTTTTACATAATATAGTGTACTCTTATACAATTTTGTGGTACTTAGAATTTTATTCGTGTTCATCAACTCATGCATAAATACATGAGCATTTGTAAATGTACACTACGTTGTAAATGAAGTACAACAACTACCCTAAGAGCACCAATAATTCAACGTACCTCCCTCAATTCGGTCAAATTCCACACAAAAGCAACTTCTCTATGTGGGTTACTTTAATGATTGATGATACAAGTCCACTGGTACTACATAAGAAGTGAAGAAGCGTGCTTTGGAAACTTTTTTCTTGCCAGTTGAAATATTGTGGTGCTGATTACTTTTCCTGTGAAAGAATCTGATAGATCGTGTAATAGTAAGTGCAAGATTTTTTCACAAATTCCTGGTTACTTCCCTGGCAGAACAAATAACAAAACCCACGTATGAGATAATGCTATGTCAGTGAGGGGTTAGGGGTGATGAAGAGTAAAGAAGAAGACAGAGAAAGACTAGGCACACTTATCTGTCGGTTTGTTTTGATACAGTACAACGGTCTGAAAAATGTATCGGCATTTTACCGTTTTGGGATCATGGTTCAAAGTCGTGGTCGCGGTCACGGTCGCGGCCTGGAACGTTCCACATCGGTCTCGGCATATCGGTCGCGGTCTCGGTGAGACGCAAATTATAAAGTATTTAATATTTTAAAAATTATTAATAATATAAAAAAAGTATGCTAAACAAAAATAATAAAAAATAGCAAAAGAAATGGCCGAATCAATCCGTCAAAGTGTAACTCGGCCAATTTCTCGTCTTGACTCGGGATAACTCGGAGTGACTCGGTGTGACTCGGCTGAGTCAATCCGTCGCGGTGACGTCTCGGCGAGTCAAGTATCTCGGTATCGTTTCGTCACGGTATCGTATCAATAGGGGCCGAGACGGTGACGACTCGGCCGAGTCGTCTCGGTCTCGGCCGAGACTTCGAACCATGTTTGGGATTGAAAAGTTGGGATGAATTATACGGTCAAGAAAAGTTAATGATCATTTTGATTTTACTAACTGTTCTGCAATTAAAAAAACGAAATATTATTAGTCCAAGCCCAAACACAGCCACAAGTTTCCCATCTTTCAATCTTATCTTCCCTTTCAAGTTTTCAGACTTTTTGCTCGTTGCTTACCTACACAATATAATCTGGAGAAAAAAAAAAGAAGAGTGAAAAATGGCTATGATAGAAGTCTTTCTTGGTGCAATCATCAAGGTGATATTTGACAAGCTTGCTTCTGTTGATTTGAAGAAACTTGCACGCTCAGAAGGCTTGGATACTCAGCTGAAACGATGGAGCCAAGTGCTATCCCTGATTCAGGCAGTGCTTGATGATGAAGAGGACAAGCAGAATATGAGGATTGCTGTGAAGCAGTGGCTAGATGATCTTCAGGATTTGGCATATGATATGGATGATGTGATTGACGAATTCTCCACAGAAGCTTGTCGAAGAAAGTTGATGGAAGCTCAAGGCTCTACTAGCAAGGTAAGAAAGGTTAAAATCCCTTCCTGTTGTACAAATTTTTCTGTTAAAGATTATAAGTTCAACAGAAAAATGGCTCCCAAGGTGGATGAAATAACTAGAAGATTGGAAAGCCTGAAAGAACAAATCAAAATCCTCCATTTGGTAGAGACTGTAGCAAAGAGGCCGAACAAAACTAGGGATAGATTGCCATCAACTTCCTTAGTGGAGTCTTATGTTTATGGTCGAGAGAATGACAAAAAAGAGCTGCTGAAATTGCTCCTTTCAAATGAATCGAGTGATGATCAAGTGGCTGTGATACCAATTGTTGGCATGGGAGGGGTCGGTAAAACAACTCTTGCTCAAATGGTGTACAATGATGACAGAGTCAACGAATTTTTCGATTCCAAGGCTTGGGCTTGTGTTTCAGATGATTTTGACATTTTTGGGGTAACAAAGACGATCCTCAGAGCAATCACAGCAGGTGGGTGTGATTATGAGGATCTGAATATGGTTCAAGTGAAACTGAGTGAGGCCTTGACCAGGAAGAGGTTTCTAATTGTTTTAGATGATGTTTGGAATGAAAAATACGAGGACTGGGACATCCTGCGCCGCCCATTTCTAGTTGGTTCATCTGGGAGCAAGATAATTGTCACCACTCGGAATCAAAGGGTGGCATCAGTAGTGTCTTCCACTTCTGGATATAGTCTGAAGGAGTTGACAGATGATGAAAGCTTATGGTTACTGGCAAGACATGCACTAGGAAGGACAAATTTTGACAGGTACCCCAATCTAGAAGGCATTGGTAGGAGTATTGTAAGGAAATGTAAGAACTTGCCCTTGGCCGTGAAGACTCTTGGAGGGCTGTTGCGTGCTAGATCGACCCCAGATGAATGGACGGATATACTGAACAGTGAGATATGGGAAATAAAAGAGGATCAAAGTGATATTCTTCCAGCACTGAGATTAAGCTATTATCATCTTCCTGCCCATCTAAAACCGTGCTTTGCTTACTGCTCCATATTTCCCAAGGACTATGAGTTTGACAAATATGAGCTAGTATTGCTCTGGATGGCAGAGGGTTTTCTCGAGGAATCAAAAGCAAGTGATCTTATGGAGGACATAGGGGAGGATTATTTTAAGGAGCTACTAATGAGGTCCTTCTTCCAGCAGTCAAGTTCCACTAGTTCACGTTTTGTGATGCATGACCTTATTAACGATCTAGCTAGATATATTGCCGGAGATTTTTGTTCAAGGTTGACAGACGACTTGGAAGAGAACATCAAATGCACGATTCTTGACAAGGTTAGGTACACATCATTCACAAGTTCAATTTATGGAGCTTCACAAAAGTTTAAAACACTTCAGAAAGCAAAACATTTGCGGAGTTTCCTACCCGTTTCTGGCAAGTATGTCGGCAACTTTTACATCGCTAAAAAGGTCATAACAGAACTTTTGCTGGAATTGCGATACTCAAGGGTGCTATCATTCAGTGGATATGATATCTCTGATCTACCAAATTCCATAGGTGAATTAATACATCTAAGGTACCTGAATTTGTCTGGTACTTCGTTGAAAGTGTTGCCTGAATCATTGAGTAATCTTTGCAATTTACAAACACTACGTTTGCGCGACTGCTGGGGGCTGATTAACTTACCGGTGGGTATTAGAAAATTAATTAACCTGCGCCATCTTGAAAATTCCAATACTAGTCAATTGCATGAGATGCCTTCAGGGATTGATCAGTTGACGAGCTTGCAGACACTATCCAAAGTGGTTGTGAGCAAAAATGGTGGGTTCAGGCTGAATGACTTGGGGAACTTGTCCTTACTGGCAGGGTCACTCGCCATTTTGGAGTTGCAAAATGTTACGAATGTTCAAGAAGCACGGGATGCCAATTTGAAGAACAAGAGGGACCTTGATAAAATAGTATTGGCATGGAATAGTGAATATGATGGTTCTCTGAGTAAAGTTCTTCAACAAGATTTGCTTGAGGCACTACGACCACACACAAATCTAACGAGTCTTGAAATTAAGTTCTACAAGGGAGACAAATTCTCTTCCTGGGTGGGGGATTCTTCATTTACTAAATTAGTAAAAGTAAGCCTTAGAGGTTGTACACACTGCAAGTGTTTACCATCACTCGGGCAATTGCCTGCGCTCAAGGATTTGAGCATTCAAACCATGCTTGAGGTGAAGGCAGTAGGTACGGAGCTATGTGGCAAAGATTGCTTTCCATCGCTTGAAAGTCTAACATTTGATGACATGCCAGAATGGGAGGAATGGACTTGCTTAAGTTCAGCAGGAGAGAACGAATGCCACTTCCCTCTGCTCCGAAAGCTCTGTATAAGTGGCTGCCCAAAGTTGAAAAGCATTCCTGTTTTGCATCTTCCTTCACTCTCTGAACTGAACTTAAAAAAGTGCTCGGTGGGAATTGCAAAATGTTTTCACAATTTGACCTCATTAAACCAATTGCAGTTTGGGCAGATTATTGGGCTTGCATCCCTCGAGGATGTGTTCAAGCAGTTTCCATCAGGCCTTGAAGGTATCGCATTACATGAGTGCCATCAACTGAAGAATCTGTGGGGGTCAAGTAAAACTGTAAACCTTGTGCAGCTAAAATCTTTAGATGTTTCAGAATGTTCACAGCTTTCATCCTTGGAGGAGCTTGGCTCAAATAATACTGTAAACCTTGTGCAGCTAAAACGTTTATTTGTTTCAGAATGTTCACAGCTTTCATCCTTGGAGGAGCTTGGTGTCTTACCGACGCTTGAATATCTTGATATAAAAGGTTGCAGTGCTCTCCAGTCTTTGCCTACATTTTCTGGTCTTGACACATTGCGAATAGGCAGATGCTCAGCCCTCAGTTGCTTGCCAATGGACAAGTTGCTCCTCCCTCAGCTTAGGAGTCTTGAGATCAGCCAGTGCCAGAAACTGAACCTTACTCCGGAGATTGTCATAGAGGACACCAGCACATCGATTGAGATTCTGGAAATCACTGACTGCCCATGTCTGAATTTGAGAACAATGCTTGGTTCAGTCTACAGTTTTGCAAGTCTCCGGTCTTTGGATATTAGCGATTGTGATTATCATCTGGATCAATTGCCCACTCCAAGTTTGGAACGTCTTTCCTTGTGCAGATGCAAAAATGTTAGTTACTTGCCCAGTGGTTTGGGACGACTAAGATCTCTGTTGTTGTATTCTTGTTCAAGTCCTTTGTTATTTCCACAAGGAGATTTTCCTCCCACTCTGAAGTTTCTTGACATAGAGGCAGGAGAAAACTTACAGCTGAAGCCCCTGTCAGAATGGGGACTCAACAGACTGACGTTTCTTGAAAGGTTCTACATCCGTGGTGGATATCCAGAGCTGGAATCATTTTCTGGTAGTGGTGATGATGGATTGGCTTTGCTTCCTCCAACTCTTAGGTCCGTCACCATTCGTGACTTACCAAATCTGAAATCGCTCTCCGCGTTCTTGCGAGGTCTTACTGCTCTTCAAGATCTGAGTATCTTTAATTGCCCCAAGCTTGGATCCCTACCAAGGGGATCTTTGAGTAATCCGCTTCGAGCTCTAGAAATTTATGAATGCCCACTTCTTGAGAAAAGGTGTTTGATGGATAGAGGAGACTACTGGCCCATGATTGAAGACATTCCCATTGTGACAATACGCAGTGATGGCACCAGGTACGCAGAGATTTAGAGTTCCTGATTTTCACTTAAAATTATTGTTCAATTTTCTGACTGATTTTCACTTAAAATTATTGTCCAAAATTTTTTTTTGTTGACTCCAACAAATTTCTTGAATGGAAAAGAAGTGTCGAAATTCAAGTAGAGGAATCATATTACTGTTATGTGTCATGTGAAATTTATATTAGTAATTTCCTCCTTTAAAGCCCAGTAAATAATTTTTCTCACTTTTAACTAGCTTGAGAAGAAAATCAGATGTCAATCGTGCTTTCCTTACCATGTTAAATTGATTCTTTGACCTTTCAGCCTGTGTCTTTTTATGCAGATGGGGTTCGATGTTCTTTTCTTGTGATTTTGATTAAGCTGTGTGCACTCTTTTCACTTAAGATGGTAAGGTAATATATTCGTGTTCTATGATTTCTTTGCATTAGCTTATCAAGTTGATATTTTTATTGCATTAGCTTATTGTAGAGGAGTGATATCCCGAACTTGGGTTTATTTTTCTTTTTCAGGTAAAATATTTGTTGGCACGTTGACGTAGGCTCAACTCGCTCGGCAGATTGTAGAGGAAACTAATCACGGGATCTTTCTGCCCCATTTTGTTCTTGTGTTTTACTAAGTCCCTACAGTTCCTGCCTTGATGAATCTCTTTGTTGGGCCTTATTCTGATTTGTAGAGATTGTAGAATATAATATGTATATATGTATGTATATATATAATCACATGTTTCTTTCTTTCTTTTCCTCTTTTTTTTTTTCCTTTTCTGAAGTCAATTGGAATGTTTATGGAGAAACCAATGCTCACTAACTAGTCTGTGAAGGTGCTTCACTCCAAATTTGGGTCCATGGACTAAATTTGCAACACCACTTGGCGTACCTGTGAGACTGTATTCTCATGAAAACTAGACATCTTGATTATAACTTACAAAAATTCGCTAAATTTTATAACTTACAAATACTCTAAAATGACAATAATGTCACTAAAATTAAAATCTATAAATGTTTCAAATTGTCATTACTAGTTGTACAACTCTAACATAAGAATTTCAAACTCTTCATTTAATACACCTTACTCTATAATTCCTAGAACGTGATCGTCAATCTATTTACCTCTTCATTTATCTTCTAAAGATATGCAATCTGCTTCGAACTTTTAGCCAATAATATATATGACTTAATTAGTTCACATATGTTATTTCATTTACTTATTTTTATCTTAAATAATCCTATAAAACATATGAACCTTTTATAAAAAAGTAACTGAAATGGTTTCTAAAAAAAAAAGATTTCCCTATTCTGAAAGTTATCCATTTTGGAAAGTTTCCCCTCTTGAAAAGACTTCTCTTTTTAAAAAGTATTTTAATTCAATTATCTATAAGAAAAAAGTTTCTATTTTGATATAAATAGGCATATATTGGTTCGAGTTGGATTTGAATTTGGGTTTGACCCTAGAGTTAAGCCTACTCTTGAAAAAGACTTCTTTTTATTTAATTTGGATTTATAAACAAACTTGGACTTGTAATATTTTTATTGAGTTTGTTTGTTAAAATTTGGGTTACTATAATAAATTCAAGCCTTTAAATAAGTTCTTTGAAGTAGGGGTGGAGCTCAGTCGAGGAGCTCGACTCGAGCTCGATATGTACTCGGTCAGAAGCTCGAGCTCGAGCTGCTCGATAGAGCTATCGAGTTGAGTTCAAGCTCATAAATTTGATACTCGAAAGCCCGACGAACTCTATCGAGTATCGCATAAAAAATTAGAAAGATTATATATAAAATTACTAATATAAGTAAATAAATTCTGAGGAATAATTATGGGTGAAGTGTAATTATACTAAAAAGAATAGTCAACAAGTTCCCACTTCCCGCCCAGACTTCCCATCGAGCCTTTCTAGCCTTTCAGCCAGTTCCCACTTCGCATTTCCCATCGAGCCTTTCTTCCTCTTTCCAACTCCCAAGTCGTGTCTCTGTTGCTAGCTCGTTGAAGCTTCCTAGAGCAGCTATTGATTTGCTTATCCATCGCCGGTAACTTTTGAATCCGCCTGTAAGTTCAGAATCTCCTTATCTCCTTTTCGAATTTATGTATTAAGCATGCGGGTAAGAACTTGGTTGTATTATGTATTAAGCATACTGGTAAGGAAAACATGAGGAAAATTTGTATTTTAAGCTTTTTGCTGAAATTGTTGGTTACTGTATTTAGATTTGGTCACCACAACCCGTGCATCTGATATGAAAGCCTCCTCGTCTTCTCCGACCTTTTATTTTTTCTTCTCCTTCTCTTGAATCTCTGCCACCCACTGGCTGTTTAGTGAAGAGTCTTCAAAGAGAGAATTTTGGGTTAAAGATTGATTTATTATTTCTGTCTTTCTGTGCAATTTCTCATAAATTGGATACGAGCAAGGTTTTTTTTTTTTTTTGCTAGAGGAATCACTTGTTTTCTCTTGAGCCTGTTGGCAAAGGTCTGAATGCCGCCAAAACCACAGATATCTTGCACATAAGGAACCCAACCATCCCAAAAATACGGTCGTTTGGTGTCAACACCCCGGCAGCATCTCCTGAGATGTATCTTGCAGCAATAACAGCCAATGCAAAAGCCAAAACCAAGCTTGTCAGTGAACCTCCAGATTTTCCCAGTATTTGACCAAAGTTTTCCATCCTGTTTGTTGGAACAATTTCTGCAGCCGGTAATCCATCAATCGACCTTTGCAATAACAGTAGATATAAGAACCCTCCAATCCCACCTGTTAAGAATGCTAATGCAGCATTTTCTCCAAGTGAGAATGAGGCAATTGAGGAACCAGCAAGGATAAGCATTGCATCATAAAGCAACAACGAAAATTTCAAGTCTGCATATTCCTTCATGCTTTCTTCACTAGATAAACTCTGGCCAGGGTCTAAGTTCTGCCATGGAAAAGTCATTAGCTTCACCAAGTAGTATATCCTCAAGGCCAAAGTCATATTGGAAAACAAATGTTTTTAGCGCTCAATTTTTGCTGAATTCTGGTCTAGAAAACAAACCCAATGTTTTCGAGCTCATTTTACGAGCTTAGTTTGAGTACTTGAGCTCGAATCTTATACGAGTTTGAGTTCAAGTTATCTTTAATTACATCGAGTCGAGTTCGAATCTGAAGTTTGAGGTTTGTTCGAGCTCGAGCAGTACTCATAACCTTCGAGCTCGAGATCGAATATGGTACTACTCGAACTCAACTCGATTCGACTCCACCCCTACTTTGAAGAGCTTTTAAATAAAATTTGAGTTATTATAACAAAGTCGAGCTTTTAAATAAGTTCTTGGACGTATATAGCCCAAATTCGGTGTTTGCTATATACTTTGGCTTCTAAACTTCTTGGGATAATTTCAGAAACCTCCCCTGAGGTTTCTGACATTTACACTTACCTTCCCTGTGGTTTGAACAATTACACTGACCTCCCCTGAGGTTACTAATCCTTTACAAATTCAGTCCAAATGATTAAAATACTATTTTAGAGAGTGAAATTAGAATTTTGTACCTGATTTGTCCTTTGTGCCACATGTCCAATGAATGGCAAAGTATTACAAATTAATTAACAATTAATAAACTTTAAAGAGTGTAGTTTATAGGCAAATACGTATTGCCTATTTAAAATACCAGCTCTTTACATGAATTTTATTTTCAAATATTTACTTTATCACAAATATTTATTCTCAAATACAGATTTGTATTTACTCTCAAATATTTAATTTTTGTTAAATACAAAACCTACCAGTTTTTCTTCCGTAGAAATATTAATATAACATTTTTTCAATTTCAATTACAAATATTTATGTATTTAACATAAATTAAATGATTCAGAATAAAATACTCATAAAGAGCTAATTCCTTACTCATGTAATGGATGAAAGCCATAAAAAATTAACATTTTATAAGCCATTTCTTTTTTTCTTTTTTTTTTAAAAAAAATTTTAATTTATATTAAATAGATAACCTATCGATTTTCTTTTTACAAGAATATTATTGTAACACCTTTTAATTTTTAATTACAAATATTGATATATTTATTGTAAATTAAATATTTAAAAATAAAATACCTGTAAAGAGCCAGTACTTTAAATAAGTTATGCGTATTTGCCTATAAACTACACTCCTTACTTAAATCAATAAACTATACTCCTTAACTTAAATCAATAAACTATACTCCTTACTTTAAATAGTGTAGTTTATAGGCAAATACGCATATCCTATTTAAAGTATCGGCTCTTTACAGATATTTTATTTTCATATATTTAATTTATGATAAATATATTAACATTTGTAATTAAAAATTAAAAAGTGTTAAAGTAATATTCTTGCAAAAAAAATCAGTAGGTTATCTATTTAATATAGATTAAATATTTTTAAAAAAATAAATGGCCTCATAAACTATTAATTTTTTATGACTTTCATCCATTACATGAGTAAAGTATTGGCTCTTTATAGATATTTTATCCTGAATAATTTAATTTATGTTAAATACATAAATATTTATAACATAAATTGAAAAAGTGTTATATTAATATTTCTACGGAAGAAAAACTGGTAGGCGCGGCGTGCTGGTTGTGGTCTTGTGCGATGGGCGAGGGAGCTTCAGCCGTGGACTGCTGTGAGCTGCGGGCGACAGCGGAGAGCTGGGATGCGGCAAGCCGCGCGCGAGATGGCGGCAGGCCCAGAGGACGACGGGCTGAGCAGCGTCCGTGGCAAGCTGGGTGCGTGCGGAAGAGAGGAAGGGAGGGCTGTGGCGGCGGGCCGCTGCTTCGGGCGACGCAGAGGAAAACAGAGGAGAAGAAAGGAAGAAAAGAGAAAGAAAGAAGAAGAAAGAAAGAAAGAAAAAGAAAGAAAAAAAAGAAATAAAGAAAGAAAGAAAAGAAAGAAGAGAGAAAAAAAAATGTTTTTTTTTCTTTTTTGAAATTGAGAAACCTAGCTAGGTTGAAAATTTTTTCTTCTTCTTTTTTTTTTCCTTTTTTTTTGTTTTGTGTTTTTTTTTTGTTTTAAAATTTGTTTTTGTTTAAAAGTTTTTTTTTTTTTTTTTGCAAATGTTATTCTCGAAATTCAAAATTAGAGATTAATCGAAAATCAATAACCGTTCTGAGTTTTTTTTTTTTTTTTTTGAATACTTACCTTTCCCACAAATGTGACGTGGGCACGTCATGAAGGCACGGAATCTGGAGCTCTCCATATGACATGACGCGGGCACGTCATGAAGGCAGGAACCCCTGCTGACGATTCTGACCGTGAGCTCTCCAGACGTCATGACGCGGGCGCGTCATGACAGAAAGACACCTACAAATCATCAAAAACGAAAATTGAAACCCGAAATCAGTCAAATTCAAGGAAAACATATTTAAACTATCACATGAAAGCAAAACAAACAATTAAAAGAAATAATTGGATTGCCTCCCAATGAGCGCCTTTCTTTAATGTCTTTGGGTAGACATTATCATGTTTTGTTCATGGAGGATAAAATCTTGTAGCTCGTCTTAATGCTTCATCCTCTATATAGTCCTGATAACCCTCGTAAATAGAATAATCCTTGAGCACACGAGCTACGGGGTTCCATGGACTAGAGAATGGCGCCAAACGAGTCGATGATAATTTGCATTCTCCATTCACTCCTCCCTCACTTGCATTTATTGGTTCAAGATATCTCGCCATCGCCACTCTTAATTTATTCCTGTCATGAAATTTAAAATTGTCTGGTATAATAAAGTCAATTTCGTTAACAGGAATTG